CTCAACTCCCTTGACCCTCTCCTTACTTTGTCATAGTTGCCTGGTAAAATCTTTTACCCCTGGTAAAACCTTACCCCTGGCTAAATCCAACTCTTAGCTTACTCTGTGCTTGTTCCTGGGAGCTGAATGTGGCTGGGAAAAAAAAAAAAAACACACATGCACACGTACACACACACATACACACACACACACACACACACACACTGACAAATCCCAGTTAAATTCAAGTGGGCCCTTAGTGCAGCTGGCAATTGTACTACATTTCCCCAGTCCATTCACACTTACTGTTCTAGATGACTATTAAATCCTGCCTCCTCTCTCCTCAAACATTCTACTTCCCCAGTCTTAGGTAGGTAGGTAGGTATGTATGTATGTATATATGTATGTATTTATTTATTTATTCACTGAGGAAAAAGAAGAATCTCTGCAAGCTCCAACTACTAGGATCTGTGCTCATATATTCAAACTTCTCAAACTTACTGTAGATGAACTTTCATGTCCCTATTCAACGCCAACTCCACCTGTCACCTGTACCCCCTTTCACATTTCACCTAGCACACCCCTTTCTCTTCCATCAACAATTTTGCTTTATAATCCATCATTGCCATCATAACACACATGTTGTGATTTCTCCTCTCTTAACAAAAACTCCTTGGACTATATATCTCTTTATATTTCTTTGTTCCGTTTCTCTGCTGCCTTTATGACAAACTCCTTGGAAGAGTTGTCTTCCTCCTGTAGCCTCTAATTCTCTCTCCTCATTCTATACTACAGTGAGACTTTTGTCCTCACCACTCCATTGAAATTGCCAAGGTCACCCATGTTGCTAAATGTTGCTCCAATCTTCTTCCATTAACCTAGCGCTATCTGGCATGTTTGACAATTCCATCCTCCCTGATATACCCTCATCACGTGGCTTTCAGACCACCATACTCTCCTGGTTTTCCCTTCTCTGGCTGTCCTTCTCAGCCTCCTTTTCTAGTTTCTAACTGTGGTGGAGGGTCAAAAGACTCAGACCTTCCTTCACAACACCCTACTCAGCTGTACACTACACATATCAAGTCAAAATATCCCAAATGGAATCCCAATTTCTCCCCATCCCAAACTTACTCCACCTACCTGAGGTAATGATACCCTCATTCTTCTAGGTATTCAAGACAAAACACTATGCTACCACCTTAATTCTCACACCCAACATCAATCTCTTAGCACCTTATTGACTTTGCCTTCAAAATATACCTAGAATTTTACTTCTTACCACCTCTACTGCTCTCACACGGACCAGACACCATCATCTTGTCTAACTGCCCTCTGTATATTCATCCTTGTTCCTTTAACACCTAGTCTCAAAGAATGTGGGTAGAATGTGGGTAAAGAAGTCAGGAGTCTGCTGAAACATGAATGAGTTAGATGTGTCACTTTTCTGCTCAAACTCTTCAAAGGCTTCCCATCTCATTGCAGGGTAAAATTCAGAGTTGTTACAATGGCCAGCAAAGGCCCAATATTATTGACTGTCCTGATACCTTTCTAGTGTCATCTCCACTATTCTTCCACTAGCCACACTGGTGTCCTTGTTGTTACTTGAACATTTCAGACAGGCTTCCACCGCAGTGGTTTGCATTTGCTGTTCCTTCTGTCTGGAATGGTTTTCCTCTACATCTCTGCATGACTCCTTCCCTCACTTCCTTTAAGTCTTTATTCAAATGCTGTCTTCTGAATTAGGCATAATCCAGGCCTAATTAGGCCTGCATTAGACCTATCTGAATTAGGTCTTCTGAATTAGACCACCTATTTATAATTGCACTTCCATCCCTGCAACTGGCTGTCCCCTAATTTATTTTCCTATATAGCACATATCTACCTGAAGATAGTGTGAGCAACTATCTTGGTTTGCTTGGGACTGTCCCAGTTTTAACATTCAAAGTCCCCCATCCCAGAAAACCCCCTAGTTCCAGGCATACCAAGACAGTTGGTCACCCTACTGATACACTCATTTATTGTTGGTATATTAACAATACAGCAATATATTTCTCTATGATGGTAGGAATTTTTGGCTGATTTGCTCATGATACCCAGTGTACATAGTTAAGTTCTCAATAAATATTTAATGATTGAATGGAGGGCAATAATAATTATAAGTTAGGATCATCCAGTGCTTAGTATATAGTAAATTCTCAATAAATGCATGTTAAAAGAATAAATTAATGAATTTCCTATAAATTTACATATGATTAAAACAGATACACAAATACAACCCTAATTAGTATGTTAATTACTATATGACCATAATTAGCATGTTAATTGCTAACCCCCTTTATTAATGCCACCCACATTCTTTTTTTTTTTTGTATTCATTACAAAAACTGATACATACACACAACATATAGTATCATGGGCAACATCTGTAGACCCTCATTAATTTAGAGCTTACCTGCCTGGGGAATCAGTGGTGCTTTTCACTGGATGCCCAGATGAACCCTCAGAGTAGTTCGAGGTTACAACATCCTGGGAAGTCAGGTCGCTCCCCCACCTCCCACCTGATCCCCACCCCCCGCCGTGAAATTCTGCAGCCCCCACCACTTCAAGACTATGCTGGTAGGAAAAGTTGGGCCATAATCTCTAGTCAGCTGTAATGACTAAAGATCTCAAACTTTTCAAAAGAAAAAAACCTGGCAAACTATTCAAATAAAAATAAAAATCTTTCTGAGGTCCAATTGGGGTATTTTCAAGAGGCACGGGTAGTTCTGGAAGGGACCTGAAGAGCAGGCGAGGGAAGGAGATGGGGACAAACATGTCCTATTCCTGCAGGGAGCTCAGCCCTTAACAACAAAATTGAGCGCTCGAGGCAATTAAGGAGAACACAAAGACTCCAACCAGTGAAAAGCAGGTTAGGACAGGACAAGAAGAGAAGTGGGAGAGCTGGGGGAGGGGCGGGATGGGTTGTGTGTGCATCTTGAGCATGAATCAGCACCTGAGTTGGTCAGGGTTGCTAAAGTCACTTTCCTCATGAAGACAGCAGAGTGGTCAGATGCCACCCTGCACTGTAACAAGGATCCTACTTCAGAAATGGCTTTGGGCTTCCAGGACTGTATCTGGTGAGCCAAGTATGTAGTATCTAAGAGCCATTTCTGTTTTGGTCCTCTGGGCCCTTGCCACATTCTTCACTCAGGTTCTTATCTGACACTAGCTCAGCACCTGAGCTAGACTAAAGAGTGAGATGTTAAGATGAAAGCATTCCAGCCCTGCTTATTGGCTCCCTTACCCCCAAGGAGAGACCCCTTTGTGCTGGAGGCAGCTTACCTGCTCTCCCGTCTCAGGCTCCGCAGCACACTGGAATGACTTGGGGAGCTCTGAACACTACTGGTGCCTGGGTCCCACCCCCAGAGATTCTGAAAGCTGGGGGTGTGGCCTGGGCCTTGGGGTTTTTATAAGCTCCCTGTGCAGCCAGGGTGAGAACCACTGCTCTAGATTCTGAGCTGTAGACGGATATCCTTTTGGATAAGTATCCTGCAGGTCCCTTTACCTGTCTGCCAAGTAGCGCTGGAAGGAAACTGGCTATGCTGAGGGATGCAAGAGCAGGGCCAAATGGGCCAACGTCCCAAGCCCCCATCAGTCTCAGGACATGTTGAGACTGTATTCAGTTGCCAAAGTGATTAAAGTATTGGATTTTTAAAATGAGAACGTATCGGGGTGCCTGGGTGACTCAGTCGGTTAAGTGTCCAACTTTGGCTCAGGTTATATCTCACGGTTCATGGGTTCGAGCCTCATGTTGGACTCTATGCTGACAGCTCGGAGCCTGGAGCCTGCCTTAGATTCTGTGCCTCCCTCTCTCTATCTGCCCCTCCCCTGCTCATGTTCTGTCTCTCTCTCCCTGTCTCAAAAATAAATAAACATTAAAAAAAATTTTTTTAAGTGAGAATGTATCAAATTCACCTAAATTTGGCTGACCAGAGCTCAGTATCCCAAGAGAAGTAAAATCTAAGGATAATTATCGGTCCCCCACTCCCTTCTTTCAGTTATTTGTTTCAAAGAATTGGGCTCAAAGATTACCGTGGTATTTATGAAATGATGTATATCAGCTTGGCTTGAAAAAAATCCATGTGGTTTCCAGAAATGCTTCACTTACCTCTGGGCAATAGTCTGTGTATCTGGACAAATAATTCTAATTCATCGGTAAAACCCTAGTTGGTCTTAGTTCTGGGTAAAGCCCTGTCAGAGAATCTAAAAACTCATTAATGAGATAGTGTTGGCATATAACATTGTTAAATATCTAGTAATAATAGATGAAAGTCTAGTGATATATGCTTTCTTTGAAATTCTCCATGTTCTATGATCAGTGAAAACGAAAACTAGTATTTCACAAAGCTAGTTCTCTATAGTCGATGCCTATTTGGTTAACCCTGGATGAATTCAATGCTAAACTTATCCAGAGAATATAACAAACCATTTTTTTTAAATAGGCAATATTCCTGATTTTTTTTAAGATCACTCAGCTGAGATACTGGCACACAGTCGTAAATAGAATCAGAGCATTTGAATAGCATTTTTTTCTACTCTTTATCCTGCTAGAGGTGCTCAGTAGCCTACTATTAGAAGCACATTAGCAAATTGGTACTGATTTCTTTCTCTCAGGTGTTTTGTTTTGTTTTAAATGCTTACTTATAGAGAGAAGAGCAAAATCTTAGGAAAGCAGAGAAGATAATGCCTCTCCCTAAAGTATGTTTTATCAAACCCAAATCATCTGGAGAGAAATTTTGAATAGTTTCCCACCTTTCCAGAGTGCTTTATCTGTGTACCTCTGGCGTTAGGCAAAACCCAATTATTTCATTTGTATATAGTGATAGATTTTCACCTGGGAATTGCCCGCCTCCATTTCAGTAGCAAAAACATACCCTTAGAAACAAAAGGATCAAGATATCAAAATAAGTTTGCTTGTTACTTAATAGGAAAAAATGCAGCTTTAGTTTTAAAAATATGTCTCCAATTCTTAACAGACTTACTTGCTAATAATGAGTGTTTCCTCTCCACATATCCAGACTCTCATGAATTCTCCATACATCTTGTTGTAATAGTTACAGGCACTGCCAATCCCCATCCACAGGAACCTGCAGTGGGAAATGAGGGGCCCAATTCCCATGCAATAGCCAGGACCTAGGAAAGGGAAAAGATCACATTCAGAATTTTAGCAACACCAGAAAGAGCAACTGCTTTATGTTACTGCTATTCTTATTCTTTAATATCTAAATGCTCTTTTACATCTTCTGATGTGTATCTGTGAATCACTAAAAACCCAAATAAGCTTAACATGTGAAAACAGTAGTTCAGTGTCTATACCATGCTAGTTCCATTTGATCTTAATTCAGTCTGAATGAACCAGGGTATGTGTCTACTATTTTCTCGCCATGTTAAGCAGTATCAGTGAGTTTCAAATACAAGTCATTCAGTCCATCTATTTACAAGCATGGAAGTCAGGACATGTGACAAGCTGACAGGTCTATTTGGCTGCCGAGTTTTGTCTGAAAACTTTTGGTTTGGATCCCCAGCTGACAGAATGGGAGGCTTAACATGAGTTTGTAGTTTTGGTGTAATTTTTTTTAATGCTTATTTATTTTTGAGAGAGAGATCGAGCATGGGAGGGGCAGAGAAAGAGCGAGACAGGGAATCTGAGGCAGGCTCTGCTCTGACAATGTGGGGCTTGGACTCATGAACTGTGAGATCATGACCTGAGCCAAAGTCGGACACTTAACCAGCTGAGCCAGCTGAGCCACCCAGGCACCCCTGGTGTAATCTTTTTAACTGACAGACATGGTCTGCAAAGATAATATTCAAACAGAGAATATCCATTTCTTTTTTGTTTACCTTCAAAAAGGACTCAGTTTAAGAAAAGAATCCTAAGCTAAATCTCATAGGTAATGAATCTGATCAATGTCTAGATTAGAATTTGAGTCCAGTGATGTGGGTTTACTCAAGAGCAGTGACTTCTCATGTCCTTGCTTATGTAGACAATGGCAGAACTGTAAAGAACATAAATCCAGTAAAAACTGGGGAATTCGCTGCTGCCTAGACCAGAGAACAAACTTGCTAGCTTGATTTTACTGGTGGTGGTAAAATGTTAGAAACTTTTCGCAATGGTTTTTGTGAAGTAGTAGCTTTTCTAAATCTTTCTCCTTTACTTTCATTCTGTCAGTAAAATATGAAGCTGCCATGCACAACTGTATGAGGCATGTTCTGACTCCAGGGGCAAGAGTTGTGTAAATAATCTAGATAATCTAAGCTTTTGCTTGAGTCATCTAAATTGCATGTTTAGTCCCAAATTCAGCAAATAAGATTTAGTCCATAACTTTGCAATACCTGGGTTAATGGGAATAAGACTGTCAGCTTTTTATTTTTTTCTTTAAAGTGAAGGTCTTGGGCATTATATGTAGAACCAAAACATTTTCAAAGGGTTCTTCTTAATCTTATGATTGTTCCAATAACACTGAATTATAAGTAGATGATTGGCTTTATATTAAAATAATTTCATTAAATTCTTCAAAAGATTAAAATGAGCAAATGTGAATATGTATTTCCTTAGAATGTCATCAGATATACAGATCTCTAATCAATTAAGCTGTGCATAATAACAAACTATTTTGCTGGCTATTTACAGCTTGAAACATTGTAGATGTTTAATAAACGTTTCCTGGGTGAATTGTTTAAAATTCTTTTAAATGTTTATTTTTGAGAGAAAGAGAGAGAGCACAAGCAGGGGAGGGGCAGAGAGAGAGGGAGACACAGAATCTGAAGCAGGCTCCAGCCTCTGAGCTGTCAGCACAGAGCCTGATGTGGGGCTCAAACCCACCAACCATGAGATCATGACCTGAGCCAAAGTCGGACGCTTAACCGACTGAGCCATCCAGGAGCCCCTCCTGGGTGAATTTTTAAAGTTATTTACAGATGTGTGTATAATATGAAGGATGAAGTTTTAAATGTGATCCTCATTTAGAGTATTTTAGGTTGTATTTACATTTTGATAAAAATGGAAACATATCACTTAATCATGTACATTTAGTCCATAGGAGGTCAAACATCTGGCTATTTGGGAATAGCCTTATTTGACAAACATTTACTTACATAATATGCTAGGCCCATGAAAACCAAAGGCATGCAAATGAAAGGCTGAACTCTTTACTTTTTATCTAAAAGTTTGGCGCCATATAGAAGGTCTTGCTATTGGGGAACCACCATTCAAGTTTAAAATATGACAGTGCAGATCTCTATCCACTAAAAAAGGGAGATTAGATGAACTTTGCTTAGGTTGAAAACCTGGGTGTTCTAACCAGAAAAGAATCCGAGTTTGGGGTCCCTGGTGACTAATCACATGTCAGCTTAATTCATCCAACAAACACTTACAGAGACCCTACTAGGTATAGACACTAGCTACAGGTCATGGACAGGAGATGCTGTGATAGGGAGAGGAGAGTATGTGGGGGGTGGGGGGAGGGGAAGTACTATACCAAATAATTACAACACAATGTGAGCCTTTCATTTATACGTATATCTTATACCCTCCAGCTGAGAAAAGGATGCTTTAGGAGGGGAGAAACTTTGGTAGGATATTAGGTAAATATTCTGGTTGCATCCACATTAAGCGGCTCTCTGCTTCTTAGATTTGAGAATGCGTATCTAGGCATGAAGCAATTGTGGGAGCCTCTTTCATGCCCAAAGAGGAGCAATAAATACTGCACTGCATTTTTGTGCAGAAACAGCCTCTGGGAAGCCAACAGCTGGGACCTCTCACCCACTGTCCTGATCAAGAAGCTGTTGCATTCCATGCTGGGTATACGCCCTAGAGAAACTTGTGCACGTGAATGTTCATAGCAGCATTGTTCACGATATCCCCAAAATGGAGACACCCAAAGATCCACCAACAGTAGCATCAGTAATTAAACCATGAAATGTTTGTGTGACTGGATACCATATGCACTGTAGCTGCATGTTGCAATGTGGATGAATCTTACAAACATAATATTGAGCAAAAGAAGCAATATAGAAGTAACGTCGGACTCGACTGCTAAAACATTTAACACCAGGCAAAAATTAATCTGTATTGTTTGGGGATTTGAAATTAGGTGGCAAAACATGAAAAGGCAAGAAAGTGATTGTCACAAAATAGAAGAATGTTTACCTCTGGGGATGAGAGAGGGGGTATGAATGAAAAGGCACAAGAGAAGTTTCTGGGATGCTGCTAACATCCTGTTTCTTGTCCTGGTCTGTGATGACATATCTATTTTACCTTTCTGTGAAGTTGTTTTTTAGTGGGAGTTAGGGGAATGTGTTGCCACGTCCTTTTTGCAGTGCCGCCTCCGGGGATGTGGTTCCTAAGTCAGAGAGAGGCTCTATGCGAGAGAAACCATGTGCAAATTTGGGGATGGCTATGTGCCCGCGGGGAAAGGAGAGCTGCCAGGGGCCTGGGCAGAGATTGGTGAACTTGGGGTTCCCAGAACTGACACTTAACAAAACCCCCAGGTAGGAATGACTCTGTCCTCCCCAGACTCCCATAGCTCTCGCAGTACTAAGTCCCCTGCCTGTGGGTGCATAGTCCCAGCTCTGAACACAGCGGGGCCTCTCAGGGAACGTGGATCAAGGAACTTAGCTCTGAGTCTCATTTTCATCACTTACTAGCTGTGTGCCATCTACCCTCTTTAATCTCAGTTTTTTCATCTGCAAAATGGGCATAAACACACCTACCTCACCACAATGCTGTGAGGAGCACAGGAGAAAATGAATATGACACTCCTTTGTAAATTGTAACTGACTTAAGGGCTTGTGTGTGGGGCGGGGGCAAGAGGGGAAGAGGAACAGAGGGGCAGAGGGAAAGGGGCGGAGGGAGAGAGAAAGAATCAAGCAGGCTCCACACTCAGTGGGGAGCCTGATGTGGGGCTCAATCCCACAACGCTGGCATCATGTCAGACACAATGGACTGAGCCACGTAGGCATTCCTGACTTGAGGGCTTTTAAATCATTATACCTTCTTCACTCCCTTTGGCTTTCCCTGACCCTGAGCTTCTCCCAAACCTGTAAAACTAAGAGCGCAGAGAACGAGTGATTCAAGGAAACTGGCAAAAGGTGTTCAGAAGTACTGGTTGGGAAGAACCACCCTGACAAAGCCAATTGTCTCCCCTTTCCTCCCCCAGCCAGGAACCAGGGACCTTAGCCTGTGCCACCAGAGCTCACATTTTCAAAGGGAGAGCATGGGACCACAAGGTCCCTGGCTAGCAAAATGATCATCAGCCTGGGATTCAGGAATTCTTGGTTGCCTCCCTGCCACCCATCCCACCTCCCACTTTCTTTCAAGCAGAGATGCTGACAAGTCATTTCCTTTCTCTGGGTTTTAACCCCTCACCTGTAAAATGAGGAGTTTGAACTCTGTGGTTTCTTATACTTGTCATGATGGTTTGCTTGGACAAGGCAGTTCATTTCTCTGGGGCTCAGTTTCCCCTTCTGTCAAATGAAAGGGTTCGGAGTCATAACCATGGCTCTCAATCCCGATTGCTCGTGAAAAATCGCCTGGGAAGATTTTTTTTTTTTAAATATCCACATGGGGATCCTGCCTCGGATGTGGCTGAGAACCATAGTACTATGCGATCTAACTATCAGTGTATGATGTCTGTCCCCAGGCCAGGAGCCTAGGTGGCAGCTCACTCCTGTCCACCACCAGGCCAGGAGTGGTGGACAGAGTGAGCTGCCACCTAGGCTCCTGGCCCAGAGCTTCAGGGATGCCAGTTCTTATGCTTGCCCCCCAAAGGCTGACCTCCTTCTTCAAAGGTCCAAGGGACTTCTTCCAACATTTGCAACATAAACATCTGGGGGAACTTGTTAAAAATACTCTCCACCTCACCCTCCATTCATGGATCCTGACCCAGGACCCCACTGTGGAAGAAGTCCAGTGAAGAAGGGGCAGTGTGGGGAAAGGAGTTCAGGTTAAAGACCATGGAAGAGTCTTCCCTCAGACCCCTCAGGCAGTAGAGAACAACATTAACTGAGTGCTCTATTTAATTAGACATTAAAGTAACCTAAAATATCAGTCTGAGTCAGATAGACAGTTCTCTGGAAAAATTTGAAGCATCCAGACATGAGGCACTTTGCACCAGCTTCATACTCCTACCCTAAATCATGCTATAATGAAGGCCACCACACTTGGAAGTGTGTAATGACTATGCTTTTCATATCCTTATCAGATATCTCATGGGACTGGGAATGGATGTCTGCCATGAAGAATTTTCACTGAAAACTGAATAATAGTCGGGTATTTCTGATATTTCTGAATTAATCTGATAGTGTGGAGTGGTGGGAGTTCCTACTGGAATTATCTGGATAATTATATTGTACTCTACTTTTGATTAATCCATAGACCTTGCTGAAGATTCTATCAGGGAATGATATTCCAAGGGAATCGTAGTGGCCCCCATTTTTCTTCCACTGTCCAGGTCCCAGCAAGCCGTTATTGTGCCACCACCATCACACTCATCCCCAAGAATAAGAGAAAATGAAGAGTGAGATAAAGAGAGGGAATACGTTCAAGAAAGGAAGAGGGCAGAGCACATGGATGAGGCAAAATGGGAGGCAGAAGAAGAGGAGTATAGAAAGCATTCCAGGGGCACCTGGCCGGCTCAGTCAGTGAAGCGTGCAATTCTTGATCTCAGGGTTGTGAGTTTGAGCCCCCCACTGGGTGTAGAGATTGCTTAAGAATAAAATTTTTTTAAAAAAAAGAGGAGGCATTCCAGAGACATTTTTTACCTTCAGAGCAAAATTAGAATGAATTTGAATAATAAAAAAAATACCTGGCTTACTTTTGCTTCACTTCATCTCAAACTTAGAGGATACTTGTGCCAGGTCTACTTTACCAAAGCAAAGTGCAGAATGGAAGGGATCATCTGAGATATTTTTGAAATTCTTTCATTTGAAATGTGCAGCTAATTGGAATAAAATTTTTCACCTGGGTTTTTATTTGCTAACATTGCCATGGGCTTCAGCCATCTCCCTGGGTTTGCTCTTTGTCCTTTTGCAAAATTTTCTTTACCCTCATGGACCAAAAGACCAAGTACATAATCTCCTTAGTTACAGAACTAAATGACTGACTTACCTGGTATTGAAGATGTGTCCTCATAATTCCAAACCAAAAGAAGAAAGCCAGTGAGCAGCAGGATTGGCATGGTGGCCACAGGCATGACTTCGGGCATCATGCTGGTGATGTTGTAATGCATTGGGTTCAGCATTTCCAAAACCATCTTTTGTTTCTTGAGCTCAGGAAAAACAATTTAAAGCCCTATGTAAATCAGAGCAGCAAAAAAAAAAAAAAAAAAAAAAAAAAAAAAGAATATCTAGGACTCCTGTTGGTTCAAAGGGTGCTGTACGATAGAAATCAAGCATTTTGTTTTATAATGTGATTGGACACCTAGACAAGACAAAGTTGTGGTTACAAGTCAAAACAAGCAAGCCAAAGGGAGATCTTTTGGCTTGAAGTGCAGCATTTCTGACCTTGGTAGAGTCTCAGGTTCGTTTAGACGCTTGGTCTGATAGAACCTTATCATCTTGCCCTTGAGTGGGTAGAGTGGCTGAATTCCCAATTGAGAGTCAAATTTCTAACCAAAATACAAGAAAATGAAGCTCATTCCAGAGGTGGAGTCATTCTGTGACTTCATCAGCAAATATTGTTTAGGCAATCTGTTTCTTTTGAAGCCAAATCAATTTTTTAAAAAAGTAATCCCCAACTCCCTTCCTTGATCAAAATTACTTCCCCCAAAGAGTAAGCTTCTCCAGCAAGAATGAATTTCTTGGAGATTGTTGAGGCGTCCTCAGAGCTTCTTATTAGGTTGTTCAGTGAATTCAGTGTGACTCACTCAGGATAATCTTTTTCTATTGACTTTAATAAGGCTAAAATCTCTTGCACTATGGCCTGGATAAAGCAGTGCCCATGGGGGGCAATGTCAGCATTAGTAGGAAAGAAGAATGGGAGAAGAAGAATAAAGAGAAGGAATCGGGAAGGAGGAAGGAAAGAAAGGACAGAAAGAATAAAATCCCATCCACAGTAGGCTGTGGCCTCTTATGTTTTGCCCACAGCAGCTAACCTCCTATGCAAGAGAGTTTTTAGTTTGATTTGCTGGTTCAGTCATGTTTCTCAACAATGTAATGTTGAGTCTGTCTTTTCAGTAAGGTTTTCTAATACCAGTACTCTCAGAGGAAAGTTTCAGGGATGGAGGTTTGTTGAAGAGACCTAGATTGAATAAATTTGTATAGCCAGCAAGAGCGACCATTCAATGCACTCCTGGTACCAGATGACTGCTCCAAGGATTACCCTTCCTTGGAAAGTGACCTTAGTTTGCAGGATTTATAATGGCTCTGAAACAGATTTTGGCAGGATCTTATCCAGTAATAATAGTTCTAGATTTGTAACCAGGGCTTCTAATTGGATTTCAGGTGCTCTCTGAACTTCCTGACATGCTGCATAACATGTTGTATCTGCTCACCTGAACTTTTAGCGGGAAAGAACTTTCATCAGATTCTTAAAGAGTATGTAATTACATTTCTCCTCTGATCTATATGATATCTTAAATATCCAGTTAAAAACTCATTTCTGGCAATTACATACATTTCATAATATAGTTGAATTCATTCAGTTGCTTGATTCATACTGTTGATTCATTCTATTTTTCCACCATTTAAATAATTATCAACAGTTAAGTGCAAGGCACTGAAAATGCTTGCACATATGTTGGGCAGTTTGTTTGTTTGTTTTAAAATATATATAAGCTGAGTCTGAAAAGTCAGCAATGTGTCATCATCTGGTTCCTTTGTTAATAAGTTGCTTCTCTGAAGAGGTTGAATTTTTAGGTATTTAATTTCCTAAGTGGAATTTTATATCATTTTGAGTAAGCTCCCTGTGACTTTATGACAGCCAGGACCTTCAAAGTTTCCATTTATAATGATGAAACCTGAAGCCAATGTTAAAAGCATAAGTGAAGAAAGTGATTGAGACAAAAAGAAGGAAGATATCCCAGAGGAGGTGATCCTGGCAGAATATTTTACATTAAAGGAACTCTCAGGAAAAAAAAAATTAGTAAAAAAACTCTCAAGAGCTACTTCATAACATTGAAATCACAAAAGGGTACAATGTTGGAAGCTGATGCAAATGTATAAAGGAGTATGACAATTCATGAAGGCATAGAAAAGATGCTCCTACCACATCATAAGTTATACAAAGAGAAGGCAGCAAGAAATGTTCAAATACTCTCAAATTTTTTGTTTTGTTTTGTTTTTACAAAGAAAACACTTTTAAAAATTGCAGTGTTTCTAATGTTTAAATTATGGTATATTATAATTTTTGTCTTACTATTTTTTGCATTTCCATATATGCTTAAAACCTATAGAAAGAGAGTTTTTAATGTTTCAACAAAAATTTTAAAAGCCATGCAATACTTGTATTTTTCCTCTTGATTTTTAGGGTTGCTTGACAGTTTCACTTTGCATGGTCATTTTTATGGTCTTGCAAAGCAAGACCGTGTAAAGCAAAGACTGACTGTATGTCTAAATGGTTAATACGGCTAAGAAGCCTCATTGCTCATCTTTCCCAAAAGTATGTCCTAAAGATGCCTCAAAGAATATGAGATTTTTTTTAGTGCTTACAAAGCATTTACTATGTGTCAGACATTGTTCCAAGTCTTTACCAATAGTAAGCCTTTTATGTTCACAACAACCCTAAGCTAATTAAGACAATCTCCATTTTGCAGATGAGGAAACTGAGGTGTAATAAATAGGGCACCCAGGTTGTTTGTTACAGAGCTGGGATTAGAACCCATGTGGTCTCTCTCCAGAGCCCATGCTTTATTTTTTTTCAAGGTTTATTTGAATTCCAGTTAGTTAACATGCAATGTAACACTGGTTTCAGGTGTAGAATCTAGTGATTCATCACTTACATACAACACCCAATGCAGAGCCCATATTCTTAATCATGCCGTTTTGATGCCTTATTGTGGGATTTATTTGGTCTCTACAATCAGGGACTTTTCAATCCTAAACTATCTATGTTCATTTCTAAGCTATTCAGACTGACTTACTTTAAAGGAGTAAGCTTTTCAGACCTCCGAATACCACAGCTGGAAAGGTCCTTTCAAATTCTTTCCTCCTTGCATGTTGGTTTTCCTGCTCAGTAGAACATTCTAATGGGCCACACAGACAGGTTAGTTGAACAGAAGACTTTGAGTGGTGGTAGAGGAAGGTAGGAAGATCCTAGAACTTCATAGGGATTCCTGGTATGTCCTCTGTGCCAGGAATACCTTCACACCCCCAAACACACACACACACACACACACACACACACACACACACACACACACACACACGGCCCTCAATGCCATGTTCCTTCAAATGCCATCTCAAATGCCTGGATCTCCAGGCATTTGTTTGCTGAGTGGTCTTTACACTTCATTCATTGGGGCATCCCACACTGGGCCCGGCACCAAGCAGGGGCTTTGGCATCCTGATGAACCAGGCCTGTGTTCCTTTTCTGTGTGGAGCCACAGGTATCCTAATACCTTCACTTACTGCCCCACAACCTCAGGATAAGGAAATACCAGTCCTACACCCAGAGTTCCCAGTCTGAGCCAGGGCAAAGTCTGCTGGGAACACAGCAGAGCCTGAGTGTCCTGGTGCCTTGGGTTCAGGACACACTCTGGGCCCTGCAGTGCCAGAAAGGGCTCCCAATGTCCTGGTACAGCCTTGACCCTCTGCATGGTGGGGAAACAGGCCCTAGCCTTGCAGGAGTGCCCCCGTGGCCTGGCCAGACCCTACCAAACCCTACCTTGCAGCATGGGGATGACCTGTTCAGAGTACCCAGCCTCCCTGGGCCTGAGGCCAGGTGCCAAGCCTGCCCTTCCTCTCTCCATCTTCAGTACACCTGGTCCATCCTTCCTTCATGTCCCACTTGCAGAGAAACGTGACCCAGCTACCTTGGGTCTCCCTGCTGCACCTTCTGATTTTGGGTCCCCACAGGGGGCTGCTTCCTGGGACTGCCTTTGCCTAGTCATGCTTTGGTGCCAGGCCATAAGCTGACACTGAATGAATTTATAAGATCAGTTGTACACAACTCACTGTTTTATCTAAAGAGAGGTCAAGGATAATAGATACAATCATTTACATTTATCCTTATGAGTTGGATGTGTTTTTGTAAGTTTCCTCAAACCCCTTACCTAATAAAATGGGCTACTTGATCTTAAAAGTCCTCCTCCTCCTTCTGTGACCTCTCCTTCTAGGTGAGTTTTCCAAGGCCAGGGTACTATGTCTTCTCCTTCATGGCTGTATCCCACTCCTAGAAGTGTGTCCTGGAGTTTGTAGATGCTTCACTACAAACCTGTGGCCTGAATTTGCAGTGTCTACCTTTGTTCAGATTTTACTCCCCGCAACCCTTCTCATACCTTGCCTTTCAGTTTGTCTTACACGCTGCAGCCACGCTGTTTTTCAAGTCAGTTTTCATTACCTCAGTTCCTTGCTAAACCTTCTTTGCTTCTAGTTGATTGCAAGGCTTCCAAATTCATCCTTTCAGACTTGTGTCTTGGTTTTCTGTACCAACATTCTGATTCCTCATTGACCCACAGACATCCTTACCTGGGAGTTCTCCCTCATGCCTCCCCCACATCTCTCCAGCTTGGCTGGTTCTGCCCCACAGGCCTCCCAGGAAAAGGTTTGCTTCCTCCCCATGCATCTCTGAGCCTTTACTTACAAGGTTTCTATAAATACCCCTCCTCCTTTCTTTGACAGGAGCCTGGGACCCTCTTGCTTTTGACTGCCAAATCACTCTAAAACTCAGAGTCATGGAGAGTTTCATTAAATAAACATTTATTAAGGCTCCTGTCTGGGCGAGGTGATACATTCAAACATGAGAGGCATAAGACAAGTTCTGAGGAAGGTGCTGTTAAGCTAGGGCCTGGTGTGAGGACCACAGCTCTCTGGGATGACAGGCAGAGCTGCTCCTGAACTTCTACATCAAGGAAACACAGGGGGTCAGAGCTGGAAAGAAACTTTGAGATCTTCCAATTGCGCAGTTATCTCCCTTGAAAAATTAACCAACTACATGAGAACCAGGGAACTACTGTCACTTGTGAATTGTCCCTTAAAAGTGGGAAACGTTTACCCACATTCTGTGATCTGATTTCCATGCCCTCTTACCAGGGTCATGACAAGGCGGGTTCCAGTCATTCTTTCCAGCAAGCTTTCAAGTGAGTCCCTGGCAACA